TGTGTGTGTGTGTGTGTGTGTGTATACCTCTTTAGGACACTGGTTGTTGCAGGAGCTCAGCTCCACCTTCTTCTTTTCATCAGCCGACATCAACTTCCTGCAGAGACATAGAACCTGTATATCAGTTTTCAGTCCAGCCTCGATAGATATGATGCAGAGATTGCAAACGCCCAGCCCTCCAAAACACACTCCCCATTTAAAAACACATTTCCATCATTGACTGTCAGAGGTTGGTGCTGCAGGTTTCCAAGTGTAAGTGTAGTAATCGCACACGTAGGAGCACTCAACCCCAACCCTGTCCTTCGCTGTCATGGAAACAGCAGCATTCTCTTAATTGGTCTGATTAAAGATGTGTCTGAGTGTGAACTGACATGCACTCCACGTAGAGCAGGCTTATCTTGCAGTGGCAACGTTGGCGGATCATCTGACCACAGGGGGGGCAGTCGCCCGGGTGACAGGGGCGCGGGCAGGGGTGTGGACAGCCTGGGGGGCGGGGCTTCAAACAGTCCTCCTCACAGACTTCACACTGCGGAGGGAGAGAGTGAGGGATCAAGGGGGTGTGAACACTCATTGAGCTCCAATAGCTGCTGATAAAGACAAATCCACCACAGATCCCACGTTGTTATTGGTCAGATGTTACATATGATGATTTGAACATCTGACTTCATGACTAAGGCTCCAGGTATAGTTGCTATTTAACCACACGTAGGCAAGCTGCTGCGTCGAGAATGTTACTGTTCACGTACTTACTTAGATACTACATGTGTTACTGAAAAATTCCAGTAGAGGGCACCAAAGAACTCAGCTCCTTCAAGATTTGCGGAATGCATAAACACAGATGGCGACATTCAAAGAAAAAAACATTTGGGTAACGTTAAGCTCAAGAAGATAATGACAATTACGCATTAGTGGGTGAAATGTCGAACCTCTAAATCAGACACATCGTGAAAACAGCTCTAACTTGAACTCTGTCGATCAGCTCCTTCAGTTCTGTTGATGATAACGTGCTCACTGACCATTTCAAGGACTCACTACTGCATCTTGCATCACGTGAACCTACGCAACATTCAGACGCAGGATATGAGAAGCAGACATCTTGCATACAGCATATTCCAACCCTAAAAACTGCCTTGTCATCAATTACAACCATAACTAGGTCATCACCTTGTTGCCCTCGGTAACTACATGGCACTCCCTGCTGCAGTCGTGGTTGCCGCAAGTCAAAGGTCGTCCGCAAGGACGTTTGCAGGAGAAAGGACCCCGACGATGACACGGCACCGGACTGACCTGAGTGGGGAGAGGGAGAAAGAGAAAGAGAGACATTTTAGAATCACGTCCAACCTCGTCTGAAGGTGAACGAGTGCGTAGAATACAAAGTACTTAAATACATGAGTCAAGACGGATGAATTGAAAGAGGGATAGAGCAAAGGAGGACAATATTCAGAGTGAAAGATGGAAAAGAAAAGATCAGGGGAGGGCAGGCAGAGAGTGCAGATAAAGAGAGGAAGTGATGAATCAAACAATGTGAGGTTTTACTGAAACAGAGCGTGGGATTGGTTACAGCATGTTTGTTTACGTGTGAGGTCAAAGGTCACAAATATGACTACGTGAGAAAACAGAGGAGGAGATTGGTTCATACCTCATGTTTTCCAAAACAGGATCTGAAACACAAACAAGATGTTTTCAGACATTATGTCATGGAAAATGTTCGGAAAAGTCGGATGAGAGGCGACGCCAAACCATGAGACTCCGTTAAAATGATCGTTACATTAAGTTGCAGGTTCGCTGTGAATGACTTCGTGATATCATCAGGTGTCGCACATGTGAATGTAGGCAAGTGGACATGTGTCACATGGGACATGTGTACGACACCTGTAGATGTCATGCAAGGTACTTAGCGACATCTAGTGTTGAAGTTACATAGTACAACCAACTGAACCACATGGACGAGATGTTTTCAGACATGAACTCTGTAAACTTGTGTCTGGACATTTTTTAGAATTTTTATTTTCTCGTGAAGAAGCAGCAGGAGATTGTTCAGGTCGGACTCATTCACAATCTCAGAAACGTGTGGGGAACATTCAGGTGAGGGGTGGAGCCTGTAGAGCAGCAGGAGGCGGGACATGGCGTATAAAGTCTAATCAGTGTTTTTGTTTACAGCACATCCCACCAGCGTTGGCTCTTATCACCAAAAGCTCTGGAATCTCCACGTCTTTCTTCTTCATCTACGTGTATGGCTCCTCTTCGTCATCCTGAGATATTTGGATTCTTCCGGTTTCACATCTGTCCGTCATTTTACAAGGGGGCTGCAGGAAAAGTTCCAGAAAATGTCCAGAGCAAGTGACTCATTTGTGTTCTCACACACAAAGCACCTCTAGTTTCATTGGGACATTAAACAGCTGCAGAGATGTTTATATAGACTATTTTGTAAATGTGTAAATAAATCTCCAAATGTGTTATGAGAGAAGTCGTTGATGTCTTCGTTGAAGACAAACTCCAGAAAATATCCAGACACAATTTTCATGTTCATGTTGAACAACATCTAATTTCTCACACACAGCATGCAGAGTGTTTTTTAATCTCAGCTTTAATGGTCCGTGACAGAGCCAAAGCACCCTGGAATGTGTTTGTGATTAGTGTGTGTGAGATTAGTGAGTGTGTGTAGTGTAGTAATGTAGTCACGGAACCAAAACAAAACTCAATTTGTCATTCTGAGTTTTTAAGAACTCTCAAATCTGTTTTATTAAAATTGTATAGTGTGTAATAATGTGTATTTTGTGTTTTCATTTTAATGTTGCTGCAGTTTTCTTCAGTTTCGAAACTCAAATCTCCTCCCTGTGGTTTTAGTTCCTCTCCATGTGGCATTCACAATAATGAGGTCACTGTGACCTAAATTTGAAGAAATTCTTTCAAGGCGTTCTTGAGATATTGTGTTTACAAGAATGAAACGAACAGACAGATAATCTAAAAACAATATACCTCCAGCCACTAGGTGTCGCCGTAACAGAAGCCAAGACAAAAAAAAAAACAGAATTATTCATGTTGACGTTTGCACGTGTTTGACCTACGTTGGTATTGGTACTTTACATGGCGGACAGGGCAGAGCTTTCTTCACAAATGCAGGTTCAGATGGCTGCTCCCACGGACCTGCTAACTGCACCTGAACACACACACACACACACACACACACACACACACACATATATATATTAAGTCTGATTTGTACTAAAGAACAGTGGTTGAGTAAATGTGGGCGGAGTCAGTCCACTACCTCTTTCCCCTGCTCCCAGTATTTATGCTAAGCTAAGCTAACCAGCTGGCATCACTAACTGTTCATTTAAGGTGGCTGCTCACCTGGTGGGACTTGACCAGCACTATGTCATGGCAGGGCTGCGGACAGGTGTGGCTGCACCTGGACAGCGGCAGCAGGCAGAGCTGCCTGCAGGCGGGGCAGGGCCCAGGGTGGCAGCGGTGCGTCTCTCTGGTCGGATGGTGACAGGACGGAGGACACCTGACGAGACGATGTGAACAGGTTAGAGGGAACCAGGCGCACAGCTTACTGTTCCTTAGTTTGACAGTTTTATGTTCATGATGTCCATATTTTCTCAGAAGATCAGATGCAAGGACGAAATAACATCACACAAGTGAAGCTAAATAATGTGGATAGTCCCCTGGTGGCTGGCCATGGCCTTGGTCATAAACCCTGCCTCCTCCATGTTAGCAGATGGGACATGGACAAGATAAAAAATCAAAATAGACCCTGTACCGTTCTACCTTTAATTCTGGTTTGTGTATCTCTACCTGCAGAGCTCTTTGCAGCGAGGTGGCTTGGTGCTCCTCTCTCGACCACAGGGAACAACCAGAACAGTTGAGGAACACGTGCATGTGACCTCCACCGACTCTGGACATGGGTAACAGCTCCCTGACAGACAGATCACACACTTAAGTCAGGTTTATCCACTGTGACGATCAACGTCAGAGGACGATCAGGTACATCACTGCTTTGACAGTTTTTAAAGTGTGTATTAAAACACTGAACGCTTTCCATTTTATTTTTCTTGATTCAATTAGATTAGTGCTTCTATTGAGAACTTGTAGTTTTTATTTTATTTTTAACTTACTTTATTAGAGTTTCAAACTGTTACGATCAAATACTTTTGTCGTATTCACAAAAATGGGAAAGATGAACAGACAACCTGAAAACACAATACCTCCGACCACTAGATGTCACTGATGGAATGATGAGTCAATAAAATAAAATAACAATTAAAGAAATCAATAATAAAGATTAAATAGATGATTCTGTAGAGAGATTATCTGTTTTCTGTTGAAGTTTGTGAATTAAACACCAAAGTTTATTTCACACACATTGTTATCTGTTCTGTGTGTTGATGCACTTGCGGCGGTGCGACCTTCTAGCTGCTACCTCGTGAAATGTCAGAGGAGCCAATCAGCACGCAGACTTACAAATAAATTAACTTTAATCTATTCAGCCAATCACGAGGCAAACGGGAGCATAAGTTATCTTTTATCCGCCAATCAAGGAACAA